GGCTTGAACTCACTGACCGCGAGATCATGACCTGAGCCGAAGTCGGCCGCTTAACCGACTGAGCCACCCAGGCGCCCCTATATTTCAATTTTAAAAAAAGGAAAAAGAGGGGCACCCGGGTGGCTCAGTCGGTTAAGCGTCCAACTTCAGCTCAGGTCATGATCTCCCACTCCGTGAATTTGGGCCCCACGTCGGGCTCTGCTGGCAGCTCAGAGCCTGGAGCCTGCTTTGGATTCTGTGTCTCCCTCTCTTTCTGCCCCTCCCCTGTTCATGCTCTGTCTCTCTCTGTCTCAAAAATAAATAAAAACAATAAGTAAATAAATAAATACATAAATAAATAAAGGAAAAAGAACAAATGGTCTTCTTTTGTCCATTCTTGAAGAATGGAGATTTCATATGTGTTATCCTTTGAGTTAAATTTATCCTGATTTAAATTGTCCAGATTGTTTTGGTGTGATTTAAGTTCATTTATTCTTGTGAACATTAAGACTTTTCACTCTTACTAACACCTCTGAAGATCACGAAAAATTTTTGTTCTCAGTTCTTTTCAACCTGAGCAATCTTAACTCTTTTATCATAATAACCTGACTAGGTATAGGCCTTTTGCTCATATGGAAGATTTCAGACTGAGCAGGGTACTTGAATGTTATTTATTCACTTAGGCATTCACTGAAGTCTGGAATGATTAAAATGGTGATATTTAAATTTCAAATTTCATACATTCCTATTAGAAGCAGAATATGTGACTACAAGTTATCCTTGGCTAAGATGGGAAGTATGTCTCTCATTTCAGCCCACTGTCTTATCACTGGCTTATGGATAGTCATTCTGTACCCTCGTTTCACTCCTGTCCCACCACCCCCAATCCCTACTTGCTGGAAGGGAACAATGGAATAAGATTCGGCCCCTACCTTCCTACCTATGAAGCAGGGGAGCTGGGGATATAGCTGGTCTAGTTAAGCTGTGCATCATTATGAAGCAGACTAGTTCTGGCTCCTCCTAAACTCTTTTTGATACAACTAGCTAGGTGGAAGGGAAAGGGTGATGAAATATATGTTCGTCTTCCTGCCGTGGGTAGGTCAGTGATTAGACCAAAAGCCTAACAAATAATTCTTCAGAGATTTATTGCAAAACTAAGTTTACAGTTCTGTACTCTCTGGCCGTCTGTATTTTTCAGTATTGGATGCTGAGTAATGGCTATGCAAATGCAGCTTGAAGCAAATGCAGATACTTCAGTGGAAGAAGAGAGCTTTGGCCCACAACCTATATCTCGATTAGAGGTATGTGCTTTGTTCCTAATTTTGAGATTATAATGCAGGATTAGTGTCTTCTACCTGTTGGGAGAAATCACAGGTTTTACATAAACCATTGGTTTATTGCCTAAGGCTAAGACCTAAATTGGAGTTTTTAGAAATACTGTCAAGGATCCTGTGGAAAGCTTAACATGGTTGCTAAGCATGTCTGGCCAGATCTTTTTTGTTAAGAATTCTTCTACTTTATCATTTTTCTTTCTCAGAGTTGGGTTGTCAAAACCTGAGGAGTCTATGGGTCCCATGATGGAGTCTCTGTGATGTTTATACTACATATGAAATTGCTATCCAGGGAATTACAGTGGCCTGGGCCAGCTCTGCAGGGAAAAGAGAGGACCATTGTCTCTCCATTGACCCGTATCTGCTGAAGTTACTAGCAAGACAGCTGTCATGATCAGAGAGAAGCACTTGTGGTTATTAAGGTATAAGATCCAAGCTCCAATTCAGGACTGCACAAGAGCATCAAGTACCAGAGCTGCGGCCTTGTAGTATTTCTTCCCGTTGTGCAGAGGCCCCGGTGTGAGTGCAGCTGACATAGGCTGAAAGAAGTAGGAGGGAAAGCAGAGAAAGCCTTCATTCTTCTCTTTACACATATTCCTATCATCCCCAGCTAAGCTTCAAGACTCCAGAAGTTAATTTAAATAGGTTTGTGTTAAACATTACAGGATTCAGAGTCAACTTTTGTTACCATGAGCATCCTTATACCCACACATGGGTTTTGCTTATTGCTTAAATATTAGTAGAGCTTGTTTCTATGGACAGATAATATTCTCTCCCCTCTCTCAAACCTACCCTGACCTGCAAATACATGCATATTCTGCCATTAACCGATATTGTCTCAGAAGTCATGGTTTTGGTGACTAATAAAACCAAAGCTAACCTAGTAATATAGGGAGGAAGAGGTGTCTTTGGGTGGTTTGTTTTGAGAAGTGGTATAGGAGTCCCCAACCAAAAGTAATCCCCCCCCCCTTTTTAATGAATAGAATTTATTGTCAAATTGGCTTACATACTGTTTTTCCCATTTTTAAGGTCAGTTGTTAGATCAGAGCTTTCCTGTCAATCATTTTTTATGTGTGCTTGATGTAGAAAACATTGGGAAACACTGATTTTAAGGTGGCCCTTTAGGACCCAGGGTCTGAGGGTTCATTTAGAGTCCCAGTCATAAAAATTTGAGAGTTGCGGGCTTATTCCCAGTGCCTGGGAGTTACTGGTTTGGTCCCGTTTCATGATGGATACATAGGATAGTGCTAGTTTAAAAATTTCTTTTCAGAATGAAAAGGTTGATAATTTGTTATTAAATACCTGATATGTAGAGCATACTTTTCACAGCTTTTGCATATAATATCACAGTTCTTCAAAATAGCTCTGAAATGGGTAGGGCCAATATCCATATTAGACAGATGAGAGAACTGAAGCTTAAATTTATCCATGGTTTTCACTTGCAGCAATGTGGCATAAATGCCAATGATGTGAAGAAATTGGAAGAAGCTGGATTCCATACTGTGGAGGCTGTTGCTTATGCACCAAAAAAGGAACTAATAAATATTAAGGGGATTAGTGAAGCCAAAGCTGATAAAATTCTGGTGAGTACTGCTTATGTGAGGCATTAGTGGGAATAGTACAAAAGGATATACAGTGAAAGGTGGCAGTGTTCCTCCTTTCATCCCTCATTGTGTCATCCTGGCCCCCTTTCCAGAGGTGACTGCATTAGTTAACTATATATATGCCTCCTTGCATAAATTGGGATTTTCTGTCAAGGAAATCGCAATTTCATGGTATAAGTACTGCCAAATTAATAAGTTTGCGTTCCCACCAGCAGTCAGTGGTATGTACCTTATCTTTCTAGAAATTATGATCTCATGCCTTAGAAATATATTCATTAGTTTGTAACCACAAAAAGAGTTTCAAAAAATATTCATTGACATGTTCATGATATAAGAAAGCAGGCTGATAAAATGTCTAAGTGTATATATACATAGTTGATTTGTGTTTTTAGAAATGTGTGTATTTATGTAGAACACATGCACAGAATAACTACACTAAAATATGTTATTTCTGGATGGTAAGAATGTGAGCAATTTTTATTTTTGCCTCAATTTTCTGAAGTTTCTGCATTTTCCATAATATGCTTGTTTTACTTTCAGATAAAAAACTTTATTTCTCAAATATTAAAGCCATGTTAATTAGGCTCTAAGCGTGTATAATCTGTTAGTTGACTAATCACAGGCAAGATTCTTTTTTTTTTTTTTTTTTTTTTTTAAGTTTGTTTTCAGAGAGACAGAGACCGCATGAATGGGGGAGGGGCATCAAGAGAGGGAGATCGAGAATCCCAAGCAGGCTCTGGGCTGCCAGCACAGAACACAGACAAGATTCTTCTATAATGACAAGAGAGTGTGATTTCAAATCATGCTTTTAGTTTTGTTTTGTTTTTTAGCCTTAATGACATAAAGGTGATTTTACTGGCTTAACAGAAATGAGGTAGTAACGTAATAATCCCTTATATAGCACTTTAACTTTGAAATCCCATCCCTTTCATATATATTCTCATCTGGCCTTCATAACAACACTGAAAAAGATAGGGCAAGTATTATCTCTGTTTTACAGATGAGGAAACTTAGGCACAGTGGTTCAATTATTTACCCAAGGTCATGCAGGCAATAGCAGAACTAAGACTGGAATCCAGTTATTTTCATCCTATCCTATTCTGATCTTTTCTCATCTCTGTTCAGTGTCTTATAGCTCCTATTAATTTTTCTTCATAATTCTCCATGATTACATTTTATTTTATGCATTTATCCTTTGGTATTTATTTTTTTTTTTTTTT